CTTGGCATTGCTTTTTCACTGTCAGGAAGATTTCATCTTGACCTATTTCTACACATGCTGGTATCAATCACGATACCCAGATATTTTTACCCGTGGCCCCAAGCTGCACAAAAAAGACATAATTAGCAATTCTTTTGACTCATCTAGGGCCTCTGAGGATGATTCATACCCTCTGCTACACAATTATCCACCATAAATATAGATTAACCTCTGTCTATTCCAAGCAATAGTTCTTTATAATGTCCATTCAAATACTGTTTATTACTACAGGGCTGAGTCCAACATCTTCAGTTTATCTTTTGAGACCCTCCATATTTTTTTCTCCTCCACCATAATCAATCTTAACACCCATTATTCTGTAATGTAACAGTAAACAATCTTTCAGAATCAGGACAGCAATTTTTTTTTACCTTCCCCACACATGCTAGGATTAAAGATGCATCTGAGTTAATAACTTCATCTTTTTAAATGGAGATACGATAGAATAAATGCCTTCAATAAGAAAAGCTAGGTGGGGCTTCCCTGGTGGCGCAGTGGTTGAGAGTCCGCCTGCCGATGCAGGGGACGCGGGTTCGTGCCCCGGTCCGGGAAGATCCCACGTGCCGCGGAGCGGCTGGGCCCGTGAGCCATGGCCGCTGAGCCTGCGCGTCCGGAGCCTGTGCTCCGCAACGGGAGAGGCCGCAACAGTGAGCGGCCCACGTACTGCAAAAAAAAAGGTCTGTGGAATGTCCAGTGAAAAGCTAGGTGATCTCTTTTGTTCAAGACCAGCAACCCAGAGAAAATCAAAGTCAGGTTGTAGGCAGGAAGGAAGATGATTTAGAGAAGCCCATGGGACAGTGGGCGAGAAAGGCCAGGATAAAATCTGGATAGGTAGAAGACGTGGGCAGAGAGGGTCTGAGCTGCAGAGGAGACCAGGCACGAGGTGGGTGGGGATGCCAGAAAGGAGGCGTGAATGCCCCAAAGACAAACGTGTAGAGGGGTCAAGAGAGCTGACAACCGGTCCCTATATTGGTGGAGATTATTGCATGACCCCCTAATGGCCCTCATGCTACTCCAGGGCAGCCCTGAACCAGCCCTTCTGCTCCAAGCCATGGAAACACCCACCATATCTACCTCGTGCCCAGGCTGTCAACCCTAGTGTTCCTCCAGTCTTGGAGGATTCTACCTGTAGAAACCCTTCTGGCTTCCCAAGTTCTAGATCAAGTCTCCCCGCTTCCCTAGATGCCTTCCTCTCTATTCAAGCTCACCACACTCTTCCTCCTCTGTTCAGTACAATAGTTCAACGCCATCCTGCATTGTTTTGAAATTCAGGCTTGGTCTCTCCAGTGAAAGTAACGCCCCTTGAGCACAGTTTTTCTTCCATATAAATTTTGTCCCTCCTACAGAAAAGGAGCACAGAGTAAGTGAATTAAGAATGATACTTTGAAACGATCGATGTTTATATTCTGTCTTTCTCCAATCACCATTTAAAACAGCATAAATCTGATAGCTTTAGAAGCCGTTCCTTATTCGGGGATTGGTTTATAAACTACATGGTTGAAAATACATCCCAGCCAGGGACTTTCTCTACAGCTGGTGAGGAAGAACTGAACAAAGCCAGAGCCTAAAAAGACCAATACATTCAATGTGTTCAGACAAATGTCAGCAGCTGCCAGGGAAGATTTCATACTTAGAATGGTTAGTCGGCTAGAGATTGGCTCTATTATAAGAATGTGTTTCCTCTGCAAAAGAAAAGTTGGAATGCATTAAGTCTTAATAAGAGTTCTAGAGGCCTGGGCACATAACACACACAAAAATAATAATAATAATTACAAAGCACAGTTTTTCAAGTAGGTTCAAAGATTTTCAGCAAAAGAAAATAATTAAAAAAGAGGCTTTTGTTTTGGAAAATAAATTACACAATAGTAATATTTCTGTATGTTTGATGCCCAAAGAATGGAAATCGCCACGGCAGTGCTTCACTTGTGCCGTCCTCACTTGGTGACATATTCACTCCTTCACTGAATGTCTAATATGTGCAGGGCATTGTGCTCAGAAAAATAAGATATCCTCGCCCACGAGGATGTCAAACTGTGGGAGAAATACAATGTTTTTAAAGACACCAAATGCTCTAACAGGAATATACCCCTATTTGGGGCTTGGAATCATGACTACATGATAGATGCCAGCTTTCATTAAATGCGTAGAGAACTGTGAATTAGGCGGCATGTATACACACAACCACACAACTACATTTTGTAACTGCGGTTCCTGGAAATCAAATCCAGGTGGTCCAGTGGCTAAGACTCTGTGCTCCTAATGCAGGGAGCATGGGTTCGATCCCTGGTCAGGGAACCAAGATCCCGCATGCCAATAAAAAAAAAAAAAAAAAAAAAAAAAAAAAAAAAAGCTTTAAGGAAAGAAATCAAGGATGTACAAAAATGTCCTAAAAAAAAAAAAAAAGAATAAGCTTTAAGGTAAGACATCCAGGATGTACAAAGATGTCCTAGAAACCCTATAATCCCCAGGGACAGAAACGAGCTAGATGTCAATAGCCCAGAAAAGCAGGACATATGCTGAGAGCTACCAGAGTCAGCAGAGGGGGAAAACAGACCAGAGGTCTACAGGGTCAAGTCAGGTAGGAAAGAGCGGGAAGGTCTCGGGTTAGACAGGCCAGCCCTCTGGACTCACTGGCATTCGGTCAAGCCATTTGTGATCAGAGGCAGCAGTGAACCAATCTTGAAGAGGGTAAGCTGACATCTGCGGTGAGTCTACAGGGCACTTGACTAGTCGCTTCCTGTGGGACATCTCATGTAATCCCCCAACCCCAAACCCTGAGACAGTGTTTACAGTTGAGAAAATTCAGACTCGGAGAGTTTAAGTCATTTGCCCCTAATCACAGTGATCATGCCGGTAGAGGCAGGATGCAAACCCTGTGGTCTGGATCAGACAGCTGTGCACTGAGTCCCTCTACTTCCTGCCTGGGAAGGACACCGAAAGTGGTTCCAGCAGCTGGGAAAAATGAGGAAGCTCCAACTGCAGAGCAGTTTAGACAAGCTGGCTAAGGAAAGGGAGCAAGAAGGAAGGGCGGATCATGACAAGAGGACCCAAGGCATCAAGCGGTCAAAGTAGATTTAGTGTGGCACTTGTTCTTTGTTTTTGGGTTTTAGTTTGTTTTGCATAATTTCAAGATGGCAGTGATTATGTGATGAGGACTCTTGGCACCTTTGACATGGGCTGTAAGTTACTGCATGCCCCAGTAAAGCTTCTGATGGCTTAGGGACATTTCAGAGGCTGAACCAAGTTTATTAAGTAAATTTACTCTGAAAAGTAAAGAGCAGTGAATGGAGGATCAGAGACTACAAAACAAAGCCAAGCCATCGGCCTCAGCTAAATCATTTCTTATAATCAGTGGAACGGCCAGGACTGAGGTGTTGCCCAAGCCTGTGCTGGGGAAAACACCTGGGTCCCTGATGCTAGAGACATGGGGAAGGTGTGCTGCTGCATCTGACTCGGGGCCAGGTGGGATAATAGACAGCATCAAACACTTTATTAGAAGAGTTTAAAGCCAACACTCAGCAAATAGTGATTGCCTGGTCCTGGAAGATCCCACATGCCACAAAGCAACTAAGCCCATGCACCAAAACTACTGAGCCTACGCCCTAGAGCCCGCGACCCACAACTACTGAGCCCACGTGCCACAACTACGGAAGCCTGCACGCCTAGAGCCCGAGCTCCACAACAAGAGAAGCCACCGCAGTGAGAAGCCCACGCACTGCAACGAAGAGTAGCCCCCGCTCGCTGCAACTAGAGAAAGCCCGTGCACAGCAACGAGGACCCAATGCAGCCAAAAATTTAAAAAAATAAATAGAATACATTTTTTAAAAATAGAAAATTTTATTAAGAAAAAAACAGGGCTTCCCTCGTGGCGCAGTGGTTGAGAGTCCGCCTGCCGATGCAGGGGACACGGGTTCGTGCCCCGGTCCGGGAAGATCCCACATGCCGCGGAGCGGCTGGGCCCGTGAGCCACGGCCGCTGAGCCTGCGCGTCCGGAGCCTGTGCTCCGCAACGGGAGAGGCCGCAACAGTGAGAGGCCCGCGTACCGCAAAAAAAAAAAACAAACAAACTACTTCGTCAAAGTTAGACGGCTGGGAAAGAAGATGATTTAGCAAAAACCAAAGAGCAGACGAGAACGTAAGGACTGGAAGGATTTAAAAGACAGCGAAGACGCTTTTTTTTTTTAAGTTCGCCAGCTTTGCAAGACAAAAAACGTCCTGGAGATGGTGGTGATAGTTGCACAACAACGTGAATGTACTTGATACCACCCAACTGTGAGCTAAAAAATGGTTAAGATGATAGTGTTATGTATATTTCACCACAATTGAAAAATACATTTTTTTAAAAGTTTGCTTAGCTGCCACAGTGAGACAATAGAATACAATTTTTTAAAACCAGGTTGTGTCCTCGAGGCCTGTGCGGAAACCTGTAGAGCTTGAGCAGCTTTCTGACTCAGGTAAGTGATTCGGAACGCAGCCTGTTGGATGTCGAGCCGACCCGGTTCCCAGGACCCGCAGGGCGTGTCCGTCAGCGCCCAGCACCAGGGACCCTGTCGCACCGCCTTGATCACGGCCCCCGGGAAAGCGGCTCCCGGCTCACCGCGACCGCCGCCCGGTGCCAGCCAGCCAGCCGCCTCGCGCGACCCCGGCCCCAGGCCCTTGACCCCCGCCCGGCCCTGGCCCCACAGGACACGCCCCACCTCACACGGCACGGCGATCCTCGTGCCACACCCGGCGGCATGCCCACTCCCTCCCGGCCACTGCGCCCCGCCCCTACCAGGCCCCGCCCCTCCTCGAGGCCCCGCCCCGTCCCCGCCCGCAGCACAGCGCGTGGGCTCGGGGGCGGGGCGGAGACTGCCTGGGTCTCGCGACACCGCGGACGCGCGCGAGTTCTCGGGCCGCTGTGGGAAGCGACGCGGACGCGGCTACTGGGCGCTTCCGCAAAAATGGCGGCGGCGGGGGGCGCGGCTGGCGGCCTGGGGCGGAAGGCTGCGGCGCGGGCTGGCTGCCGGCCGGCGGGCCTGGCCAAGCTCCGGGCCCGTGGCGGCGGCAGTGGTCGGCGTGGCCCTGGCGGGAGCAGGAGCAACATGGTACCACGGCCGCGTGAACATGGCGGCGTCCCAGGGCGGCCTCACCGTGGTAGCCCAGGTACGGGACGGGCCCCGTCAGGCAGCCCCGCCGCGCCCCTCAGTCCTCGGACGCCCGGCGGGTGGAGGGTGCGGGTGAGGAGTGGGGGGCTGGGGCGGCCCCCGGCAGCCTGCGCCGGGGACCGGCGGGGACTGTGGGGGCGTGTCCCGTGCGCCCGGGCCCGCAGCTGCGCCCCGTGGTCCAGCTGTCCTAACAGGTGACCTTTTTAATAATAAAAGAGGCAATCGGCTGGTCGATGCTTGCCAGGTTTGATGGTCATCTGTCAGGAACAGTATCACATGTCGTAAACCTTCATGCTTCCGCGGACTCTGAGTACCAGGCAAAAGACGTTTCTTTTAAAACTACCACGTTTGAAAGTAAAGGTCATGTTCCCTGGTTCAGTATCAAATTGTCACGCAAAACATTTGAACATTTGAAAAAGAGTACTACTTTTTAAATATTTAAAGGACATTTTAATTCTTTTAAGTTTGTGTGAATATTTTTGAAAATTAAAAGCAGTATTCTTTTTCTGTTGGTTAGATTTACATTATGCCTCTCTAAGTGCCTTGAGTTCCGAAAAACTCAACGGTCATATACAACAAAAGAGAGGAAAGCAGGCCTTGTGAATTAAAGTTAAGTATTGACATACATTATGTTTACTTGTATTAAATTAAGAGGCCACAAAGTTAAAACGGGCAATAACTCTCCCCCCATTCTCATACCAGTTCTGATTACAGGTGGAAGGATCTATCTAACGGTGTTTTATAGTATTTTTGTTCATTTTGTGTCAAGCAATTAAGTTTATTATCCATCTTTGGTTTCTCTGCCTCTGTTCTCAACCGCTTAATTCATCCTGTTTAATCTTCCCGAGAGTATCACTTTAACTACATGACATACGCTTTTTCAGAAACCATTAGTGCCTCGTGCTCCTAGGAAGAAATCCCCATTTTTAAATTTTGTCACGCAGAGCCATCTGTAGTCACGCTCTGACCTAGCGCTACTCAGACACACCTTCTATCAAAGGGGTTCACTCCGTGTGCCCAGAAATGGCTTCAGTTTTACCCCCTCAGCAATTTGTAGATTCCGGGTTCAGTCCATCCTTGTCACTGTGTTTTTGTGGCCCACTGCTAGCCTGTTTGTGTTTTCAATTCCTGACAGGACCCTAAAACTTTACACCAGTGGGGTGTTTTGAATTCTCCCCAGCTCCCTTCCCTCCCTGCAACCTTTGGTACTTTCAGCCCAGCTAAAGTAATACAGAAACCATTGTATTATCAGTGGGTTTACAAGGTCTGTTGACACAGCATTTGCTTGATCTCCTGTTGGACCACTTTTATTAAAACAGTGGTTTTCGTCCTTTTGCCACCCCAGTGGACTTGAAGATGACCTCACCTTCCTCTCAGCAGCAGTGGCTGAATACAGCAGGAATTGAGGGGCCTGTAGTTTGAAAACTCCCTCCACCTCACTGACTGGGGTAACGTTTCCCTAAGAGAGGGCCTGTCAATCCCGCGGCTGCCCCGGCCGTCAGCACCACCGCCGCTTTGGAGTCATGTGTGCATGGTCAAAAACTACTGAGATAGATGTGCTCTTGATACACCTGGGGTAACTTTCCCTAAGAGAGGGCCTGTCAATCCCGCGGCTGCCCCGGCCGTCAGCACCACCGCCGCTTTGGAGTCATGTGTGCATGGTCAAAAACTACTGAGATAGATGTGCTCTTGATACACTTTTATGTATTCTATAGTTATTTTACTTAGCATTGCAAGGTGGTACAGTCTTCCTGACATGGACTTAATAATAGTGATAATGTCCTTCATTTTCAGTCATCATAGTAAGTGATTTTTCCAATAAAAATAGTGAATGTATACTCACTGACTCATACGCTTCAGATTTCCATTGTGACCAGTGCTTGCATTTGTGAGGGTCAGTCAGGAATTAAGGGTAGAATTCAAGCTCATGAAACAGCAGATATGTTGGCATTTCCCTTCTTTCTTTCTTCTTTCCACAATTATTGAAGTGCTACCTCTGTGCCAGGCAGTATGCATAGGAGTGGGGAATTCAAGACACGGTTCAAGTGCTTACAGTTCAGTGCGGGGGCAATTTTAATACAGGGCGATAGGGGTGGTAAGTGCTGGGTGCTCTGGGGGCACCTGGAAGAGCCCCTCCCACAAGCTTGGGTTCCCGAGCAGTGACCTGTGAACTGACGCCTGTGGGATGAATGGAGTTTGCTGGGCAAAGAGAAGGGGAGGAATACTGCACACAAGGGAACAATGTTGCAAGGGTCTGGAGGGAGGAGTTGGACTCAGTAGGATGAGAGCTGTACAGGATGAGATTCAGAACAGGTAGGGGTGGCAGGGAATCAGGTCATGAAGAAATGTTTATCCTGAGGACAACAGGGAGCCATCATAGGGCTTCTTAACCTTCAAGGTCCCCCAAGAATACAGGCATAGAATTCAGGGAGTCTTTGAATTTAAATAGAAAAAGATTACATTTTTGTTTTCTTTGACCTATAACTTAACATTTTCTTCAATTGTGAATGTAGGCAACTAGCTACACAAGTATTAACAGTAACCGACAGTATAACAACCTCAACCTCAGATCTTTTCCTATTCTGATACAGTTGTTACAGATATCTCAAAGTATCACTTCTTTGAAATTACAGTGCTTATTAAACATGCCACCATATCATGTTATTTAACGCATAAATCAAGAATTACACATATTACTATATTGAAGATTTGACTTGGACCTTTGGAAAGAGTATGGAGACTTTAGTGAAGGGAATGGATTGAAAGTGAGGTCAGGATCTGTTGAAATAATTCAGGAGAGAGTTGGTGATGGCTAAATTAGTGGATGAATTTGAAAGAAGTTTAGAAGATAAATTTGCAGAGTCTAAGTTGCAGGAGTCTTGTGTAAAATGTAATTGTATTGTTTCAAAAAATATGCAGGTTCTCCCCCACTATCCAAAAGTAGAGCATTCCTATGAAACCTTTTGTAAGCCGAAATGGCATAAAGGGAAGGAGCCGTTAGGACACGTCTTGCTAACAGATGCACAAAATAAATGGAGATGAAGCACAGAAGCTCACAGACACAGTTCAGAGCTCTGGCATCTGATGCTGAGATGCTGAGTGTAGTCCCCAGGGCCGCTCTTCCTGCCTGGGCTGTTCGCTGCCCCTTTAACTCTTCCTGCCTGGGCTGTGCGCTGCCCCTTTAACGCGTCGCTGAAAAACAAAGGCTGAGCACTTTTTTCGATTTTGGCCTTTTTTCTAAAAGCGAAAATCTCCAGGTTTCTTTGGGTTAGCGGAAACGAGTACTGTGTAGGTCTTTGGTAAATTTGGTGAAAGCGAAGTGGCCTGAAGCAGGGGATCCCTACAGGAGTCCTGAACAAGTGATTACATCTGGACAACAACATATTGCTCCTACAGATATCCTTTAGGGCATGACTTGCTTTAGAGCATGTCAGCCTGTCAGTTACTTGTATGTAAGCTGCTTCCTCTGAAACACTTAAGTATGTTTGAAAACTGTTCTAGATTTTAGTATTACTCTCTTTAAGTATTATTATATTTGGTTCTGGCATAGTAAAATCAGATAAATGATAGAAGGGAGAAGACAAAATGATTCTATTATTCCAGTCCATTCTGCTTTAAAAGGATAGCTGCATTCTTAATAAACCTTGGTATATTAAAAATATGGAAAGTTATTTCATGGAGAAATAGGAGCTCTAGAGTTTTCAAGTTGCAATGGCAAAATAATCTTCCTGCAGGAATTTCAATACTATGTAAAAGTTTTTTTGCTATTACTGTATTTTGCTATTGCAAGCTAGAAATAATATATTGGTAAACCAAAAACTGATGAAAACAAACATCTCCGTATTACTAAGTAAATCCTCAATGGCATGTAAGATCAGACTTAAAAGTAAAGCTTTTCTGAATCATTTTGATATTATAAATCCTTGTAAATATGGCCTAAAACTGAGGGGGGGGGGAAGTAAAGAGAAAACCATAAAGCCAAAGTTAAGTGCATTACACTTCGCAGGTGACAGCAGTGATAATATTTTATTTGTTCTTATTGATTTGTTGAATGAGTATTTCATTTATTCTCTAAATTTTTATAATTTTTGGCCTTATATTAATTTTCAAATTATATGTGATATTGAATATATGTTTCCCTGACTTAATAATAGGATTTTTTTGGTTTGCTTTTTAATGAAAAATTTGTCCACCATGTTTAAGGTAAGATTGTTTTGTATGACCTAGTCTATAATACTGTATAAATCCTTTTTATTCTAAATAAATCCAAATTTTTTATTCTGTAGATTCATAAGTATCAGATTCCCTTTGATATGTTTGTATTTATAAATCCTTGGAAGCATTTCTTAGCATTTAATTCATTTTTCTTTTCTTTTGTAGAACTTATCACTCCCTGAAATTATTTTATCTACTTGTTTATTTTGTCTCCCCCAGAAGAATGGCCTCTTATCTTTTTCATCTCTATATTCTTGGTGCCTGAAACATTCACAGTCACACAATGGCACATAATAAATGTTTATCCAAAGAGTAAATAAATGAACTGCACTATGTAATGAAGTGACCTTGTCTAACTTTGGTTTGATTAGCCTTTGTAGAAATAATAGGCAGGCAGTCTCTAGAAATGTTCAGAATCAGCTCAGTTACTAAATGTCCTGTGTATACTCAGTTACACACTTAGAGTCATAGAGACATATGCCATTTTCCCAGTAGGAAACCTAAGTAAATAAGAAACCTTGCTCTTTCTGCTATATCCCAAGAGCCTAGAAAAGAGTCTTGTGCATAGTGCGTGTGCTAAGTATTTATTGAATGGGTAAATAAATTGATGAAATCTATAATGAAACAATAATTGGTATACCTTTGTCTCAAAAGTTTAAAGGTGGGTCCATTTCACCTATTACTGTGTATGATATTTAATTTTAATTCATATTGTTAATGTTTTGGGCCTCTCACTGTTGTGGCCTCTCCCTCTGCGGAGCACAGGCTCCGGATGCACAGGCT